CCCCACACTTTGGGAACCACTGAACTAAGTCATAATTCCATCCTTATATCGTGAAGCTATTACTACCATGTTTTGCTTTGGAGAGGAGGAATTCATGGTTGCCATGTATTTGGCTTTTTATCTAATGATAGAGAAAATACGTGTATAAAACTGATACAGATATTTAAAGAAGCACATGAGAAACATTTTTGTCTCATTTGAGAGGAAAAAATATAGAAATGGTCAAGTGTAAATAACTGGAGATTCAAATTCCTTTCAGTATGTGCGAGTGATGCCTTCAGGGGGCCAATGTTATGAGCCAGGGCCCTTCTTCCCAGCCATCCCGAGACATTTGACCCAAATGGGAATAAGCAGAAGACGTGACCTATTACTTCGACCAGACTGGTTGGTGACGTTTGGGCTGCTTTTTGGAGCTGTGGTCATTCTCTGTTTATGTGTTGCACTGCTGGTTAGTTTCCTTTTAAGCACAAATTGCATTTACAGATGTTTACAAAAATAAAAAACAAATTTAAAAATGCTTTTGTGTGTGTATGTGTGTGTGTGTGTGTGAGTAGATTATATTCAAGGAGTATGGGTGGCCAGAAAAGGAGCCAGTCAAAGCAAGGTATCGGTCGTTGCAGTTGTCCTACCAAATGGATGACTATGCATCAAAAGGCTCAAGGATTTACACAATAAGGAAGACCAATCGAAATCAACAAGCCCAACAAATGAAAGACTCCATCCAACCAGGTAGGATATTTGGAGCTTTAATCCATGCATTAAAAACAGCCAATCTGTTTCCAAACTTATAGTCAAATGTTATGTGCACCATGTAGACAAACATACATGCACTTTGAAGACCCCAGTGGCTTTTTACCCAACACTGATATTGATCTTAGGGTGGTGCATCCATCTAACCAGTTACTGTTGACGTCATAAAGTTGATAGCACGTGCCGAATGACTAACAGAGAAAGAAAAACAGTTCAAGTGACCCATCAAAGGGCTCTTTTTCAGTTTATTCATCTTCAGCTTCTGAGAAGAACCTGACAGATCTTAACTTTAGAGTAAATGTTTCAATACAGGTGTGTACATAAGGAATGGCATTTAATGTTCTATTTGTCTAATGGCAAAAGTATTTATATTCTTTTTAATTTTTAACATTGATTAACATTGCGACTAGATTTTCAATTCATTTTATTTCTGAGCTAGCATCAGTCAGACTAAGGGACACTAGATGCAGGTCCATGATGAAGATGTGGCAATGTTTACAGCAGGATTAAGTTATGATATAATTACACTCAACAAAAATATGAACTTAATACTTTTGGATTTGCTCCCATTTTTTATGAGCTGACTTCAAAGATCTAAAACTTTTTCCACATGCAAAATATAACCATTTCCCTAAAATATTGTTCACAAACCAGTTTAAATCTATGCATCTATGGAAATGCCCCACTATACCTGAAGGAACTGCTCACCCCTCTCACTACAACACGATCCCGCCGCTCAAAACACTGGAACCACCTCCTCCTCCCAAATACTAAGCTAAGCATCATGGGCGATCGTGCCTTCTGCACTGCCGCTCCTCAGACCTGGAATGCCCACCCTGATCATCTGAGGGAACCACAGACTATTCAGACTTTTAAAAAGGATGAAAAACATTTCTTTTTAGCAGGACGTATGACTTTTAACATTTTACAATTATGCTATTGATTTTATTCATAAGTGTTTTAAAGCGATGTTTAGTTTTACATTTTGATTTTACCCTTCTATTATGATTTTATCTGTAGCACTTTGAGATTTTTTTTTTTTAAGTAAAGTGCATTACAAATAAAATTTGTTATTATTATTATTATTATTATTAAATCTGTGATAGTGAGCACTTCTCCTTTGCTGAGAGAGTTGATCAGGTTGTTAATTCTGGGCTGTGGAATGTTGGTCGACTCCTTTTCATTGGCTGTGCGAAGGTACTGGATATTGGCAGGAACCCGTACACGCTGTCATATTAAGAGCATCCCAAACATGTTCAATGGGTGATGTGTCTGGTGAGTATGCCTGATCAACTCTATGCAAAGGATGTGTTGCACTGTGTGAGGCAAATGGTGATCACACCAGATACTGACTGGTTTGAGGGAATGTTTGAGGGAAATTGTGATATTGTGTATGTAGAAAACGTAGGTTTAGATCTTGGAGTTGATCTCATAAAAAACAGGAGCAAAACCAAAAGTGTTTCATTTATATTTTTGTTGAGTGTATTTTGGATGAAAAACATTTTAAACTTTGCTACAAGAGCTGTAGGGGATCCAAAAAACACACAGATGAGGCCATTTAAATATTTTTGATGGGGAGAGAAACCGTAAATTCATCCTCTTCAAAGCATAACATGATAGTGATAGCTTCATGATATAAGTATGCAATTTTTTAGCTAGGTGAAGGATGTTGTCAGAGTTGATAGGAAGGAATTTAACTAAATATAGGGACAACACTGGAACATTTTCTTCTTTCAACACTGGGACATTTTCTTCCACAAAAAAACAGCTGCCATTGTCGCCTTATGGTCCTGATAATAAAGATTTTACCTGTTAAGGTCAAACAACAGGTGGGCGTGAGGCAGTGCTTCTATGGCCCACCGGGAGGAGATAAAGCCTCTGGTGGTGAAAACTGGTGAAATCATTTCCAGACTACTGTTTATGTTCTTTTAAGTAATCTTAAGGAGATTCAAATACATGTTATTTGCTTTTCATCTCTCTTTCTCCTTCTTCTCTATCTCCCTGTTGTCTTTGTGTAAAGCAGCCTGTCTGGATGTTTTAAATGAGTTCTGGGATTATGAACACCAGGTGGATTTGGAGGCTTTCAATAGCAACACCTTCTATAGCCTGCTGCTCAAACAAAGCTTGTCTGTCACTAAAAGGCTGGGGCAGCTCACGACTGAGGTAAAATTTGACTGTAGAGCAGATTAAACAAGAACATTTGATCTGATGTAGTGATTCCTCCTTAATTCCTTCACACACACTTAGGCAGGTGGTTTCTGTGAAGCAAAACTGTCGAGAAGTAAGAAACAAATCATCTTTTGCCAAGGAAAGGGCTGTAGTTTTTTTTTTGCTGCTATACTGAATAGTGTTCAGCCATCCCTCCCCTACCCATTGCTGTGGATTGCTCTTCAAATGTTTAAGAAAAAAAACCCAGGGAGTCATTATGCAGATACTTCATTTTGTAAGTTAAAAGTTGCAGCCTGGCTCCTTGAGCCTGTGTGGGTCAGCTATATTTGTCTATGTTTAAAAACAATATAGCCATAGGCTGCCATATTAAATGAGCTACAAATGGAGCTCTGCAGGGAAAATTCAAGATAAATAAAAATAGTGTGTAGATTGTAAATTGGACAGAATGACAATATCGACAATTCTTTAAAAATGTAAGTAGAACTTATCAACTTAATTGTGTATTTTTATTTTTTACGTCCATTACATTGAAGTAATTCACACATTAATAAGTCTTACTCATTCTGGGTCCATTTTGATCTAATTTAAAGGTATAGTGGAGGAGTTTTGAGAATTTTTGAAAAGACCTCTCCCCCTCTCCCCTTTTAAAAAAAATGCACATGCACAGCCCTGTACTCGCTCCAGAGAGGGAACGCCTATTAAACACGTGCGAAAGCATGCAGGAGCCCATTTCTCCTCGTGTTTGCATCGCTCATACAAGCTTACCTACCAACAAAAAGATTGGCGATTTTCCACTATGTCAGATTCATTTTCAGTAAGTGAAAATGGGGACGAGCAGGTAGGACGACCTTACGTAAACATATTAAAAGAAAATCCAGATTTGACCATAATAGTTCAGGGCAAAGAGGGAAAAGATCATGTAAAGAATTGCATTTGGCTTGTTTTGCTTATATCAATGTTTTTAAAGTGTGCTAATAAGTAACAGAACACTAAAAAACTAGTCAAGAAGATTTTATTTTGCTCATCCATATGTTAAATATGTAAATTTTAGCAGCTAGGTATTTCATTCTTGTTTTTTTAAATGTAGGAGTTAACTTAAGAGAAAAAAAAATTAAACATTTAAATCTTTAGTAATCTTAAGTTTAAATCGTATTAATTCAGATTTAAACTTTAAGCAAAATTCTAAAAAAGCATATTTTTATATTCACTTCCAGATCCTGGATTTGATTGCCTAAAAGCCCTGATCCAATTTGGTTACATACTTCTCTTTCCCCGTTTTCTATAGCTCTTCACATTTCACAGACAATGTTTAGGTCTATTGAAACAGGTTGAGTATCATATGTGAAAAACTATTTTCATCACACCACCTGTCTTTGTAGTTTATCCTTCCTGTTGTAGCTGGATGCAATTTAGAGAACAGATTGGTGTTACAGCCCCGTAAAAGTGAAGTTATAAAGATGTAAGAAGAGACGGTTTCTTACAAACGCTTATTTCTCCTGAGGATTAAAAATGCTTGCTATAGCTGTATGATAGCAGGATCAGATAACAACATTTTTATGAGGGTTTTGTTTCTGATGTGAAGTTGTGTTTGTCCAGGTAAAGGAGATGTGTCAGGGAGTCCTTGGGAAATTACAGCTGCTCCACCCAGGCATGATCGCTGAAGACAGGGTGGGGGAAGGTTACGAGAGGATGAGGAAAGAGGTGGAGAAAGAAGTTGGGAGACGGAAATCTTTGGCTTCCCATCTACAAACTTTGCTCGAAAATCAGCTAGAGGTATTTTATATGATCTCCTGAGTTTAAGTCCACAAGTAATAACAGATGCAAAAGTGGTAAAGATCATTTTATTCAAATGAGGATTTTGTGTGTACAACTGAATGTTGACATGGAGAGTTTAGGATGGATTTATTTTGTGCATCTCAAAGGCAGCTGCAAGTCTACTTGTATAACACATGTTGGTGCAGAGACTTTGCAAAGTGCTTTACATGAATTATACAGTAAAGTCAAAGGAAAATAAAAGCAAGTAAAGAAAAAAAAAAGATAAAAAACTTAAAAAATGATACCTCAGTTTACATTTAATAGTTAAAGGCAGTTCTAAACAAATGGGTTTTTGACTTTGACTTGGGGGAAGTCAGGCTTTCAGGCCTTTTACAGTCTTCTGAGAGTTTGTAGCAGAAAAGTGGAGCATAGAAAGGTTATAACTTATTGTAATGTTATTATGGTGTTTTCAAAAATGACATACTCCGATCCTAGAAATGGGCAATTGAATAGGATAATTTTGAAAAACTCTACATATTAAAATAAGTATACTTTTAAAGTATACATTTAAAACCACAGATTACGTACAATATATATATATATATATATATAAAATACTTAGACAACAGTTATGTGGGAATAACATCAAAAATCTTATTCAAGATGTGTGAAACTAAGCTACAATTTAAAATCATAGGCCATGTTTATCAGACAGACCAATCCTTAAGTTTGTTGTATTAAACTAAATTACAAATTTTTAGGGTTAGGGTTAGGTTATTGTAAATAGTTAAAATTAATGAAGAACAATTGTATCTTTATAACAATGCATTTCCTTTAATATTTTATTATACAGCAGAACCCCCCCCCCCACAAGAGCCAAGTTTAGTAGCAAGAAAACTTAAATAAAATATTTGCTGAAGAGTAGAACTGAATTAGATGTAATTGATTTCTTAGATTCTGAGGCGAGAACAGCAGGCCAAGCAGCGGGTCTACAGTATGTTCTCATCTTGGCTCAGGGAGTGCACCAGACTGCTGTCCAAGAATTTCAGCAATAACCAGTCATCCTGTGAGCTACAAGAGCAAATGTAAAGATCTGTCAACTTTTTATGAGTATTATTAAAATGGCAAAAAAAGAAGATCCACAATATGTTTTTTTTTTTTTTGATTAAAATTAAGTTTTACAGATAAGCTTATGTCACTTGTGGATGAAATGGGGGAGCTGCTGACAACAGAGTGCCACCGTCAGGGAGCATGGGGGCTGTTGGGTGAAGGTACAGGAGCCAAGCTGCTCTGCCCAGACACAGGGACTGTCCTGACCAAAGACGACATCTTTGGTGAGTCTATTAAGAATTTTCTGTGTGGCGCTAGAACACTGGACCTCTTGAATTTTAGAGAAACAGCCCCACCTGCTGCTAAATAGCTGTGCTGCAACAGACAAGATGAAAGCCTAAATGTGATCACAGCTGCAAAACTACAAGGCTTCCACATAAAAGAAAAATCCAAGTTAAAAAAATGTGTCAAACTTCAGAATATATCCCACCTGTCTCCTCTAGGTCCTGACGGGTCTTTGCGTGTCCCTGCTGCAGTTCACTGCGATCCGGTCACCGGGCTCATAAGGCCAAACACTCACAGCCACATGTTGCTGAGCAGCGGCCACACCATGGCAGTGCCCCCTGATTATTTCATCCACCCACAGACTGGCAGAGTTTTACCCATCGTTGGCAACGTGGCCTATGACCCTGTCAGTTCTACGTTAGTCTTCACTACTGACCTTTGTACAGGTAACAGTAGAGGCTCTTTCTATGCCATAATGACTGCTGTGAAAACATAAGAAGCCAGAATAAAGAAAGGGAGAAACCTAAACTGTTAACATACTGTAAATAAATCTATTGCATTAAATCACTTTTCAAAGTTTCCTAAAGACAATACAAAGTAATAAACATTTAGCTGTACTTTTGTAAGAAAAGGGCAACAAGTTATTACTGTCTAACAATAAATCAGACTAAAATTGTCATGTTTAATATTAGGAAAATTGAGCAAAATTATTTCTTTGGATTAATGGCAAATTAAGAGATAATTGTAAGAGATAATGTAAGAGATAATTGTTTTAGATTTCTTTTGTTTGAAAACTACTGAACCTTTTAAAATTCTAGAGGTAACATACATCCCTCAGTATTTGGCGCAGTATTTTGTAGAATGTAATTTTAAACTGTATGATTTAATTAAAATACATTTTTGTTTGTTTAATTAGTTTGGAGAAATTCCACCTTAAGAGATAGATATAACTGAGTCAGATTTGTAGGCCACTGTCCCCACACTCACATCCCTACAGACCTTTACAGAAATTGTCACATTATTGTCCTTAAACTCCTTTTTTAAAGATAATTTTTAATCTCTAGAAGCTTTCTTTTATAGTAGGCAAACAGGAAATTGCAGTACAAAGATTACAGTAGAGATAGCACCTTTTTCATCAATGGTGAATCAATGGTGGCTCTTCCATATTTTACAAAGACATAGTAATCCTGGTGACTATGAACATCTTACCTCGAAGAGAATAATAAAAAGGCTTTACAAAACTGTCTCCTTGTTCTGAGATTTAGCAAGTACTGCAAATATTGGCAATCCAACTGATATAAAACAGGAAAAGTTCAATCTGATTTGATAATCAGAAAAAATATGAAGTTGTTTAGAACAATCTGGTTTCCACTTTATGTCCACAGCTGAATTTTAGATATTTAAAAACATAATATAGAAACATTATTTTATCTGGGAAACTGGCTTACGGTCCCCTTCAAAACTATCCTCCAATCTTATGTTAACATATTTTATTAGGATGGTTAGAGGTCGACTGATATAAGAGTAATGCATGATAAGGAAGTGGAAGGAAAGTGACTTTTTTTTTTTTTTTTTACCTTTTAAAAATAAAATCTGTAAATTGTGGATTACATTTGTGTTTATCTCCTGTCAGTCTTGTATCTATAGATAAAATCCCAGACACTAATTGGCTTCAGGATGGACATAATAGATCAACATCAATAAAGTCCACTCCTAATGTTTCTCCTTGCTTCCTGCAATCCTTTGTATCAGGTGAGACCAGAAAGTTGGACAGTCCCCTCCTTCCTTTTCTCCCTTATCCAATCTCCTGCCACTCCGAACAGCCATTGCCTTGCATTCATCTCAAAGGCCTAAAACCTGGACAGAGGCTGCAGCTGGGAATGCCCATGGCCGATCCAGACACAGGTGTCCCAGTTCCTACCTTGGCAGTAACTATCCACCCACAGACTGGATTAGTTTACCCACTGGGAGGGCTACATAAGTGCCCACTTTCTCGCCTGTTGCAACCAATACAAGTAGGGTATCCCATGCTGGACTCAAGGACAGGGAACATGGTGCTCACTGTTGGGATCAGTTTAGATGTTGTAACAGGTAAATATTACTGGATTGTTTCCATTACTTAAACAGCACATCATTCGCTTTTTTAATTTGTTCTGCTTTCCCTGCAGGACACATACAGCCAGTAGGTGGGGCACTACTCTGTGAGGTCTTCACTGAACCTTTAAGTGGACAAATGGTGAGAGTTGGAGGAGCCACCATCCGAGCCGGACAGTTGGTACCTCATGCAGGAGGATACCAAACCTTACTAGACAGCAAGGTACTAGATTATCTATATGGAATCATAATTAAAATCAGTCTTATTGGCCAATATTTATCACAAAAAGAGGTATGAATTAGGCCTCAAGCACACAGGTTTTAGTATAATCATATCAACTTTGGAGGGAAAAAGGAATAAAGCATTAAACACACAGAGTAAAGAAATAAGCAAATGTTTGACTTGTACCTTAATATAAGAACATAACTGCCAAGAGGTGTTTGTTTTTCCTTATCCTTTTCATTTTTTATGAAAAATACTAAGTAAATGGTACAATGACAAATGAACCAAAGACATACAACACTATATATCTGGATTTAAAAAAATAAAAATGACAGAAGGATTTCTTTGGCTCAGGTTCTGCTCGAGATGTTTAAAACAGTGGATCTCCTGAAGCCACTAACTGATGAATGGAGCTCTGATCCAAATGGACAAGAAACTAACAAGAATATAGGTGCTCGATTAGATGATCTCCTAACTGCAAGCAAGGATCTTGAGCAGGCCTGGGGGAGGAGTCTGTACTGTGGGCTGCAGGTTTGGACCAGGTTTGAGATGCTGCTTGATTGGGCTCAGGGTCTCCAGCAGGATGGTGGGACACTTGGTAAGAACTAATAATAATAAAAAAATGAAATAAAACCAACAATAAAAACATGGCTGATAAGATTATTTAAATAAAAACACTATATATCACTGTACCAATAGATAAGATGATTGGCACAGTCATGGCTCAGAGGCTAATACAGAGTGCAAGACCCATGTACACTTCTGTCAGGGGTTTGATTCCCAGCCCATCGACCTTAGCCTGTCTTCTTTCTGCCAACTTGAAAAAAATAATAATAAAAGGCCAACACTGCCGCAATAAAACAATGATGATCTGTGGGTAAGGACTGGAGTTCCTGTTTATTTAATGGTAGGATCATTTTCAAACCTCAAACTCAATCAGCTTTGGTTTACCAAAGGTCAGATACAAATCATTTAATTTTATCCAATGACCTTTGATTGCATGAATGATCTCTCTGTTATTGGATTTTTTTTCACAAATTATCAAGAAATGTAAGACTTCTGTCTGCATTGCAAACCACAAAACAAAGTATCAGAAAATAATGTTTTTTTCAACATATATATCCCTATAGGTTTAATTCTTTTTCCATCGAGCTCATTACTAGATACTTATTATGCCAGGTGCTTCATGGTACTGCAGAAAAACCTCACAAAGTCGCCTAATTGAGTTTATTCCAGTACTTATTATTCCTTTTGGCCTTTTAAAACTTTGAAAAACTTCCAGAACCTGTCTCAATGAAAGTAGAGCACACACTTTATCTGCCATGTTTATTTTGACCTGAGACAGAGCTGGCTACTGAGCAGCGTGCGTACAGTCGAAGACACAAGCGCCTTTATTTTTCAAGTCTGACATTTAAAAGAGTCAGATTCCTAGGAGAGACCCACATCTCCTAACCCAGAGACTTTTTACTTGACCTTTACATATCACAGACAGCTACCCTTTACAAAAATAAACTTGACCAGTTCGTCTCATCTTAGCTTAGATAAATAGCTGCACAAACCTAACTGTCTCTTTTACACTATTATGTTTATTTATGTAGTTATGCCAGCCTAAATTCGACAAGCAGTCATCTGTTATTTTGTTGGTTTAGCCTAACCCCAAATGATTCACCACTTTTACTTTTTCTTTTCTAGCTTTATTAATAGTTAAAACGATGTTGTAATTACAACTGTGACCTGGGGAATAAAAGAGAGCTATATGGACAGATTTGTTATTAAAATCTGCTTTTTTCTTTCTTTATTAGTCCCTTTTTCCCCTCTTTTTTTTCTTTATTAGTCTTAAAATCCAATGGGAGATCATTCAACTAGACTGAGCAAAGTTATTTTACTTGTGAGCAAAACATGGACTAAAACTGGGACTAAATCAGGTGGCTAAACTGAGCAAACAAGGATCAAAGCTTACCAAAAAAAGCACTAGATGTAGAGAAAACAAACTATTTGATGTTATCCTACACTCAGTCTCTACAGTGATAATTTAAGCTAGGTGCTGTATATTTTATTCATATTTACTCAAGTGCTTTGCTTCAAATCTTCATTAATTTACAAAGTGAGTGATCTTAGTTCAGATAACACAAGATAAATTCAAATGGCATACCTCTCAATAAATGCTAAGATCTGCTTTATAAGGTTGATGAAAACTTATGTAAGGTCAATAAGTTAGTGAGTTTTAGAAGACCACTACCCCTGACTGTAGAGGCAGTGTGGTCATAGAAGGTTTACTTAATGATCTTCTTAAGCATTAAATAATTTTCTCCCTCGAGATTTACTGGGAAGGTTAACATGTCCACAAGGGAGACTGAGACTTAGATGACTCATTCTGGGACAATCTCCAGGCTTATTTATCATAGAAAACATAAACAGCCCCTCAAGTTTTTTCTGGGTTTCCCTCGGGTGTCTTACCACAGGGAACCTCCAAGAAACGTGTCCAGAAAGTATTCCTGATTAGATTAGAGAACCTCAGCTGCATTAACCTGATGCAGTAGAGCAGGAGCTTGATTACTGCATTGACCTGTGTATCATGACCAAATGGAAGGGCTACTATAGAGACTGAGCAGTAAATTCAGAGCTTTGCTATTTAGCCCAGCATTTCTTGCCTCTGCATATTGCATTGCTGCAGAAATAGACTCAAACCCAACTATCAATATAATGGCCCATTAATACTGAACTAGACTTCAAGATACTATTAAAACTGACTCTCGACTTGAATGGAGCAGCCTTAAACCTGGAGTAATGGATTTTCAGCTTCAGATATCCGTTTCTTTTTGTTTAAGACTATTTATTAACATTATATTTTATCTGATTTATCACATTTCACTCTGTCAATTCATTTTAAGTGAAAAGAACAAAAATTAAAAAAGGAAAATATTTCCTTAAAGACTTTTTTCTCAAGTAAATCCAAATAATTAATATATCTGTTACCTGTTAATATATCTATATCAGGTGAAATGCCACTGCCAGATTCAAATATGTGTCTGCCAGCTCTCTTGGGAATGGAATATCCTGACCCTCTGGGATCTGGTCTAAGTGTTCCTGTGCTCGGCTGCCAGAGGGATCCTTTCTCAGGGAAAATGATTCCTTTGGCAGGAACCATGGAAGACCCTAAAGGAAAAGGTATGTTGATAACAGTAGAAAATCTAGACATCATCTACATTTGATTTAGCTTTTAGATTAATGCAAGATGATCCATGTTTTTTTTTCTGTGACTCATGCATCCATTTGCACCTTACAGGCCTGGTGGCAATCCGTTATGGAGCCCAGGCTGTGGATCCCTTGACTGGACTGTTGGCCCCAGTAGTTGGAGCGAAGCTGGATGTGTCCAGGAAAATCATTGTGCCTGTCACATCTTCATTCTGGCTGATGATGGCAGAGCAAACAGATGGTGTACAGGTAGGGAGATAAATCCTTGTACAAATTTAGTAAATAATGTCATACAGATTATGTTTAACATAGGATTAAAGCCCATGATTGAATCTAATAGGATCTTGCTTCCTTAACTCTTTTTCTATTCTGCGCCAGGTGGAGGCACTGCAGAAAGAAATGTGTGTGAGAAAGATATACTGGGAGCAGCAAAGGCAGCGTGAGGAGGATATCCTCATCGATCTGGATTCGGCTTTATTCCAGCATCTCTTTAGAGTTACAGATTCAAATTCACAGGTCCTGGGGAGGTTGCTTATCCTCCTTATGAAAAGCATTTTTGTGCTAAAGCTTTTCAATATGTGGACATAAAAAACAGCGTAAAATACATATATATATATTTGATAGTGTAAAGATTAAGGTTACTTGAATACCTGTAGATAGATCCGTCTCGCAGTGGTTTAAAACATTCCTACATTCATATAAACATCTTAACACAACCACAACTATTTAAATATGTAAATAACTGGTTGCAGGCTTCCAAAATCGGACCAGAGCAAGACAGAAGAGGAAAGCAAGGCTTAAAAATAGAATAAATATGCCAGATAAAACATATTTAAAGACCAAAAACCCCCAAATAACATAGACTCAGTAAAATCTATTAAATAAACTGAAAGTGACAGTATCAGTTTTGTTTGTTCAGTTATGTAAAATCGCCTAGTTGAGGCTGTTTTTTTTTTTTAATGTCTTACATTTAGGGGCTAAAAATTAGGTAAAACTTATAGATCTGGAAAGTGAGCAGAAATCCCAGTAAGCTTATCATTGTTTTTCTGTGATGCACTGGTTAGTAAGGATTTGTGCCTTAATAACACTCAGTGTACATTCCTATAGGACCAGTGGTCAGGGAAGCATCTCAAAGAGGCAGCCACCGAGCTGCAGGACATTGCCCAAACTGAAGTCCAAAGGAGAGCGGCCCAGCGCTCATTCTTGGCTCTGGTCCTTCCCTCACATGTTCTACACATTCTTACATGTGGTAAAGCTAATTGCAAGCTGGAAAATGAAGCTAAATGACAATTTTAAGTGTTTGCATAGCAGCTTTAAAAGGTATATATATATTCATCTGTAATTGTAGGTGATGAAGAGGAATGGGACCAGCAGTGTGCATGGTACTCAGTGGTCATTTCTGCCCTTGATAAGCTGGATGTGTGCATGGAACACCTGCAACAAGACATTGAGAAATGGTCGTCTCAGCCAGAAGAGTGGTCAGCAAACCTCAATGTGATGGTACAAATAACTGCTTGTTTCTGACATCACAGCTGTTTTTGATTACCTTAAATAAAACATGCTTTGGCAAATCCAGATGTGTTCTTAACAGCATTGCCATTAACTATACTACTGATATAAAATCATGGGGTTTTCAGGATAGAGAGCTGAGAAAGAGAGAAACATGGGAGCAGTGTTGTTCCATTCAGACTGAGGTGGATTCTGCTCTCACTTTGCTCCATTTTATCAGACATGTCTCCCAGCTGCGTGCCAATACTGTGCAGGTAAAAACATTTTACGGTTTACCATATCTTTATATTTATATTAAGAAAGTATTTTGACCCTCTGATAAACTGTCAAGCTGAGATCCAACTTCCATTATTAACTCCCGTAACCTTAACATTTTCTGTTATCATGTTTAGGGAGTACTCTGTGGACACTTTTGGTTCAAGAACTACGGCTTGGTCCAAGGCAGTGAATATAAGCCAAGCATTACAATAATGGCTCTGCTCCAACAGAGGGCAGTGCTCCTGCTTGAAAGACTGAGTATAATCTTAGAAGAAAAACCAACTAGCCGTTCAACCAACATCTTCAACCTGCAAAGCTCTGGTATAGGACCATCATATAACTGAAATAACACATATAAACACCAGTGCTGGTCTTTATTTCAGGAATTACTGAGGACATATTAAATATATAGTAACTTGGGAGATTATTTAAACCTAAATTCTGTTTCCGAACATGTCTTAGGATTGTCTAGAAAGCAAGAGTCTTGCTTGGAGATACCATCAAGAGGGTGGACAGCATCAGTGCCAGGGGTGAAAGGTATGATTGCTGCTTTTTACAGTTAGTCACAAGCTTATTCACGCTACTTGCAAACCACTTTTCAGTAAGGAAAATTTAAAGGTATAGTGGAGTAGTTTCACTAATTTTTGAAGACCCCCCATCTCCACTTTAAAGAAAATAAAGCGCATGCACAACCCTGTACCCGCCTGAGAAGGGTTGCCTATTAAACGAGTGCAAGAGCATGCACAAGCCCATTTCTCCTTGTGCACTTTCTGTTTGTTGGCAAGCTTTTAAACATAAGCAAGGAACCTGACTTAGGTTCACAAATCTTATGGGCATTTTAAATATAAGCATATAATATCTAGATGGAAATACATAAGTGTTTTATTTCTTTCTTGTAGGCCTATGTATCCATAAAGTATTTTTTCAAAACAAGAAAAATGTTAAATTAGTGTTAAATTAATGTTAGATTAGATGAAAGGCCTCCCTGTAAAACTCTAATATGATTACTTGTGTTTTAGTTGTTTTCTGTTGCGTGGTACTGACTAACACTTTTCTGTTGTCATTTCTGGTACAATACCATTTTATAACCAAAAGATGGCAGTGCTGTGCTGAAGCTGCTCAGCTCAGTTCAGTTCTAAATCAGTGCAGGGAATGAGCAATCACTCTTTTCACACATTTAGATGCGCAACAATTACAGTAGTTAATCTGACTGACTGTGTCAAATATGCTGGCGAAGATTCTCAGTCATCCAGGTCATAGTCATTTCAAAATTGGAGGCTTAGTCACATGATGTCAAATTGAAGTCAATTTGTCTGTGAATGCTAAGTTTATCAACAGTCACTGAGCGCATCCACAGAGGTTTTTACGGGTAGGGGAGGGGGGGAGCAGTTCTTCTGTGCCCTTTCACCATAATATCCAGGAGAGATTAGATAAAGTGGGTAGGTCAAATCCAAAATAACACTTATTGTTTTGAGAGCAGGCTGCACAGGGATTTCCTTTAGCCTTGAGTCCTTTTCTTGCTGGGTCTTTCATGGCAGAATCCAATATTTCAAATGTGTTGGGCTTTTCCGCTTTGAAGCGAGCGTGCCTATACAAGATGTTATCCCATCTCACCTTTGCGTTCAACCCCCGCAGCGACCCTGCTTTTAATCGCACTCAGCATACGGCTCAGCTCCCGATCTTGCTCATTCACAGCATTTGTGAGGGCGTCAACCGCTGCCGGCTGCCTGATTAATGCCCAAATTGCCGCTGACATCCTCTGTAATTGCAAATACATCAGGTATCCTCCAAATCCAAACAGGAGAAATCTGAGTATCATAAGACCAGAAATCCACACATCTTCGATATCCTCCGCTGGCAACATTGTGAAACACACCATCCTCCACACTTTCCAGGAGTCCATGGAGTATCCCACGTATCAGCTGACCAGATCAATTTTTTGGGTTTGGGTGGTAAGAGGAGAGAGCTCAGAAAAGACAAGACACAGCAAAGCAGGGACAGGCAGGGAGGTGCAGGAGCAGCAGGAAAATGCGACCGCCTCCTCCAAGATTCAAAACAGAAAGGATATTTCCTTAAATAACCTGGTGGGAACTTGATCTATCATAAAAGCTGAAGGCTTAGATGAAGACAATAGTTTTGCTAACTCTGAAAGTTCAACTGGACCAAAGCAGTCTAAACCCAGTTCCAAATGGCTACCTCAGAAGCTGCCTCACCTTCCAGAGATAAACCAAACATAGAGGAGTGCTAATTGTCTTATTTTTAATAAAATCAATCTTATTTAAAAAGAATCCAATAAAATAACCACTGCTAAGAGCAGGTGGAATGGATGGATTAACAGAGCTATGGGTCTGGGTGAATTTGGCAACTGTATTAAAAAGATATCAAGAATGATCTGCTAAAGTGAAACCTTCTTGTGCAGGAAGAGAACTCTGTTAAAGTAATTCTGAAGGTTATCAAAGGTGGTCAGAGAGAACAGGGTAGTGAGGAAATACTGTTATTTCCAATTCAATGCCATATGTCAGCACAAAGTCCAAAGTATGAAGATGAGAAGGTGTGGGACATTTCACATTTTGAAAAAAGCTAATACTGTCTAAGATGGCATTAAAGGCTGCACTTAATCTATCGCCTTCAATGTCAGCATGGATGTTAAAATCCCTCACTATGATGACCCTGCCAGTATTCAACAACAAAACTCATCTTTAGAGTAATGACCTGGTAGACAATACAAAGTACCAAAAAGAAGAAGTTTTCTGGCATTGCAATTTGGATGAGGAAAACTAAGGGTTAAATGTCTAAAAGAGTTGTAATCATTAACTGCCTTTGGAGTAATCAGTAAGTCAGACTGAAAGATTGTTACTACTCCTCCTCCTCACCCAGAATTTCTGGGTATGTGAAAATTGAAATAACTACATAACGTTGCCTCATTTTGACTCACATAATCCTCTAGCTGCAGCCAAGTTTCTGTTAAGCAACATAAATCAATTAGATTATCACAAATCAGGTTATTAACTAGCAGACTTTTTGAATAAAGAGATCTTCTGTTAAATGCACCACATTTAATCATTTTAACTTTTTCCCCAATTGAAGTTATTTTTATTTTTAATAGATTATCATGATTTAGTCCTTTGACTTCCACTCAACCAGACGTGAAAGTAGAGATGTTTTACTTTTGTGGACAGAGGAACGATCAGAAATCAGTCTCAGTTACTAAGAGTGTGGGTTTTAAAATATGTCACAGATTTCTCTGCTATCCCTGCAGACGCTGCATTGTGATTTTAGCTTAGGAACAAATTCCCTCTGGGAGCCTAACTAGCGACACCATTGCAGTGGGTCAAATATTAGGGCTCTAATCCTGATTTCAGCAGTGTTTAATCATGTTGGCTGTGTGCCATCCTTTGCATAAGTATATAATATATAATCCCATCACCAGCATACCCGACCGTTCACTAATTTGTTTAACTTCAGGTCTCACTCTTAAAGGAATAGTACACCCAAAACATGATTAGCCTTCATTTTCTACTCACCCCCATGCTGAACAACACTCTGGAGTACTTTTTTGATATCTCAAATGCATCTGGAGTTCTGGGAGGCTTCTTGCTGTCTGCCAAAATTCAAATAATGGAGGTGCCCAGCGCCCGAGGCAGAAAGGTCCATAAAAGTCCACAAAAAACGTTTCAATATTCCTCCATACTGCTCGTCCAATGTAATCCAAGTGTCCTGAGTGGGTAGCGTCCATAATTTACTCGAAACTAAGTCATTTAGAATGTTTTAGAGCCTAAACAGTAGTGTATAGGATTTCCTAAAAGCGCGCGCCTGCGAGTTCACGACTCTACGGAAACCGAGGCAGACCAAACCAGATGAAAGTGCGCATTCAGCGTCTGCTCTGCCGATAATGCAAGTGTAGAAGAAGAAGTTCCGCTTTTCAGCTGTTTATTTTCTGCCGTGAGCCAGGTGAGCACGAGGTTAGTCTCTCTCACATTTCTTCTAAAACATTCTAAATGACTTCGTTTCGAGTAAATTATGGATAGTACCCACTCAGGACACTTGGATTACATTGGACGAGCAGTATGGAGGAATATTGACACGTTTTTTGTGGACTTTTATGGACCTTTCTGCCTCGGGCGCTGGGGACCTCCATTATTTGAATTTTAGCAGACAGCAAGAAGCCTCCCAGATCTCCAGATGCATTTGAGATATCAAAAAAGTACTCCAGAGTGTTGTTCAGCATGGGGGTGAGTAGAAAATGAAGGCTAATCATGTTTTGGGTGTACTATTCCTTTAAATGCTGCCACACAAACAAATAGCTGCATACACACAGCTGTGGATTCTTTTTTGCTGACATTTTGCAGCTTCCATTTCTGATCGGTTTACTGGACTTCAAAGCTCGGACTGTGTCTGAAAGTCCGCCCTAACCCCTGAATCCCTCAATCACTATGTAGAGTGGGGACTACATAGTCCAATTTATAGTGAACTCAGTTAACTGATCATTCTGATAGATGATTATTACTTTTCGTTCTCTGCTGGTCATGTGACTCGGGCTCCCTGCACCGTCCCTGCGCCGTCTTTGCTCATTCTTGCCCCCACCTAAAGTCCCACAATGTTTTGCATGGAGAGCTCTTGCAAAGCATTCTGGGATATATCTGCCCGTCAAACTACTTTTCAAGGTGCATTAGACATTGGGACACTCATTTTAAATGGCGTAACCCCTATATAGTGCTATGAAAGTGGTTAGGGTGGATGTTCGGACACAACTTGCCGGACAAAAAGAATGATTCCAGTATATTTGGAAGGTTGGAACTGTCTCTGATCAAGTCCTGACTAATTATTCACTCGGTAGAATCAATGGCTCATTGCTGTGTTGCCCTGTCATGTTTTATGGCAGAGCTACACCAGCCTGAGATGTGTTTGTGCAGGAAAACTGAAGTTAAACTATGGTTTAGTAACAAAAGAAGTCAGTATTAATTCCAGTGAGAAGTAACATAATAGAAAATATTACAATATTACTGTAAACCTTTATCACCACCAGTTTTTAGAATTTGGGGGATAACTGTACATACATTAATAGCCTGCTGACAGCGCATCATTAGTTATAGTATAATTTTGTTACTGTATATGCTGTAGTGTGTAAAACACACTACTGCAAAAACAATCCAAAAAATAAGTAAACATTTCTTAAAATATGTGTGTTTGCCCTTAATCTGAGCAGATAAATAAGATGATTTACCAATAAATGAAAATCTTTGGCCTTAAAATAAGATAATTAGATATTTTGCAACTAAAATAATAGAGTGTTTTTTTTATTGAAATTGTCGTAAGCAATCATCAAAGTGTCCCATTACCTGTTCAATTCAAGAAAAATGCAATATTTTCATAACAATTGACTTACTTTGACCTCCTTTTTCTGCCTTGCAAATAGTTTTGTGAGATAATTTAAGGAATGTGCACTTATGAACCTTCGCTATAAACACCTCGTCTGTCCATGGTGTTGACATGCACCCAGCTAGGGAACAAGCAAAAAACAAAAACAAAACAATTCATAGTGAGCATCACATCATCAGTAACTGTATAAAAGCAGTACCAATGAAATGATCAGAATTTTAAGGGCTATTCATTTTTTTTCACTTTGAGGAGGAAAATAAAGTATATTTTTGAAATGGTGTTACAGTATGTAAGACTAGGAAACATTTACCCAGCAAAATCTTATAAGTAGTGCAGGAGACAATCTGTGTCATTAATGAGGTCACAACAAAAACATCAGAGAGTCACTAACCTCTGCGTTTGGGTTTTTTTTTTTTTTTTTATTACAATAAATGGTGGAAATTCCAGGGTAGAGGCAGTTTATTCTCATCATCGTTGATGTGAATCATTCCAATCAATTTGTCGTTTAGCTCTCTTAAGTATTGGTATCTGCAACCAGCTCTTGCTTTCTGGAGGTATGCACCATAGAACCAAACATGAGATTATTAACACTTGAGCTTTTAATACACACTCTAGCCCTTAAATTTAATCCTGACGTGTCAAGTTGAATGGGGGTTTGTAGAAGACCCTTGTGCAGAGATGGAGGTGGTTTCTTGTTGATTTAATAATGAGTGGTGGCAACAGAAGCATAAATTCAGAAATAACTAACCAGAGAACACAAGAACTAGAGGAAGAGTATATATGGCAGACAGAACAATGAATATAGTAATCAACTGATTGAGAGCAGGCGTGAACAAAAGTACAACAGGGCTTAAAAACAACTAGCAAAGAACTTAAATGACATTAAAGACAAATTAAACTAATGACTATAAAACACATAATGGCATAAATTAAAGTCTTACCAAAAACCCAAAGTAAAAACTTTAACAGAACCCGAAATCGAGATCAAGAGACATGACTGGCTTAAAGCAGAGTAAATGTCTCCCTTATTTGTCAAAAGGAGACTCAACCCAGTCCCCCAGGGAGCCTGCATATGTCCAGTTCCAGGATGCTAATCTTCAGACCTGCAAACGACAGGATGCATCCTCTGGTGTTCAGTCTCAAGGTGAGACACACGATTTGCCCATTTTCACACTTTGCAGATAGATTTGTCTCTTGGCATACAAATTCTCCGCAGAGTATGTGACAAGGCTTAATGTGGTTTAGCCTTTGCACAGCATGTTCTACATACTAGTAGCAGAAAACAAGGTTATGGTTTTTTCTAAGGCTCTACAAAGAAAAGTGGAAAAACCCTCTGAAACTTTAAAAAGTTTCCTTTCATCTGTGGCGGAGCTAGACTTTAATTGTTTGTGTGTTGGTGTTGCAATCATTTTAAATCGTTTCTAAACATTAAAATATTTATGTGCAAGTTTGGCAAAAAGGTTATGAGATTTGAGTTGCAGTTTAGAATCATAGTATAAAAAAATAAATAAAAATCAAAAGCCAAACAATCGAAAACACAATTTTAAAAACTGGTTACGTTTACTTATGTTACTGTAATACCAGTAAGTACTTTTGTCTGTGCCTGTGTTATTTATGTCAGCTTTTTTAGTTTTAGTCTTTAGGACAAAAGCTAAAAAAAAGCTTTAGTCACAATTAAGTTATTTAATATGCAAAAGTTTCATTTGTTGAAAAATCATAAAAGCATCAGTCTAGTTTTAGTCTGATTTAGAAAACAATTGTTTTTGACTTGCCATAAAACTGACATATAACTCCCCGACTATGTGTAATAACAAAGCAAATACGTAGCCTGGTAAACACATCATAACCTGCCGACAGAACATGAATCACATCTGGTGTCAGCCATAAATCATTACGTTTCTCACAGTAACACAAACTAATAAAGTAATGTTAGAGTAACTCACTCTGCTTCAGCTTGAAGTTAATAGGAATTTATAATTGAAAGAATAAGCACTTGGGATGTCTGTAACATGTGGTGGTGCGTTGTCAACAGTGATTCCATTTACTGTGCGTATTCACTCTTTTTCCGTGTGTGATGTGTGAACATATTCTGCTCAGAATTGCAAAATTGTATCTTCTTGGCCGATTTATGGAACTGTCGCCGTATCCTGAACCTTTATCACATGTTGTACTTCATATGGGTGATAAAGTTATGCCATTTATTATTACTCAAAATCCAACACTTTAATACTAATAAATTAATAAATAAAAGTCATTTTATATCAAAGCAATTTTATTTAGTTATTATTTTTGTCAAAACTCACAGACAAATAGACTTACATCTTTCATTTTAAATCAATTTAAAGTTACCTTATTGCTTTTAAGTTACATGATTATCCGGGCTTGGAGTTTGGCAAACCCAGGGCTTTACAGTTCTTGAATTTCAGCCAGTCCTTGGTTAATTTACATTTTGTCTCATGGTCACGTTGCAAGGTCCAGTTCTCCATCATCTTTACATCTTTTTTAATGGTATTTTAATATTATATATACTAAAGGCCCATTTGTTAGATTTCATAGTGGATATAATCCCCAAGGCCCGACACATCAACTTCCATATGTGACATGACATGAGGTTATTTCCCTGAAACGCTGCATTTAGTTTAAACCAAACATGTTTTCTGCTCTGGTAATTTATCTTTAGATTTTTTTAACCCATTAGTAAATTCATGAACTTAATTCAAAAGGCCTCAAGAGTTTGTTTGATGTAACCCTGGGTTTTACATTCATCTCAACTGGCTGTGCTTTAAATTGACCAAGTTTCTATCAAAATGTTAGTAATGCTTCTCTCTTGATCTGCATTTAATGTCAAAAACCTTGACATTAGTTGAACATGAAGTATAAGGGTATTATGCGAAATATTAGGGTATCATAATTTATTTCCCACTAAAAATGTAATATTTTAAAAAGGTTGTCTTTGTAGCCTTGCATATATCTAATTCCTCAACTTTTGAAAATAGATATAAAAGACTTATTGAATCTTTCCTCTTTTCAGATGAAATAAACCCAAGAAGAAAACTGCTTTCCTTTCTTTAATGCAGAACTAATATTGTCTTAAGAGTCCTCTTACAAAGTTTTAGGTGAAATAACCATATCTATGCTTATGTGTATGTTTGCTGTATTTATAAGAACTTAGACATCTCCCGTAACAAATAAACTGCTAACCTATTTCTCTTGATTTCTTAATAGGAAGTCAGCAGGCAAAAGAAACTGATAAGTGTACTAATATGGCTGTTCCTGCTATACGAGGTATTATCCTATTATCCTATTTTATCTGTATATGCAAATTAAGAGTTACAGTTGGACAACATTTGAGTCTTAACAATTGACATAACTGTAATCCACAGAAGAGCAATGGAAAAGGCTGTTGGGGATGTCTCCTTTATTCCAGCTGTTAAAGAAACTAGAGCTACAGCTAAAGAGCGCGGCTGAGCGGGTTGTTTTTCTTAGACAAGAGCTTGACAGTAAGTTGAAGTTTTTTCATTTGTGTTAGGAGGAGCTAGGTTTACCCATTATAGTTTGTGTTTACTAAAACATAGAGTAATGGTGACAGCTGAGAAAATGAATACAGTTCAATTATTTAACATAACACACCCTTTCAAGACAGAGGGAACAGTTTTGTGGATGTCCTTGATGCTCAGTGGGAATGTGAAGGAGAGCTGATCCCTTTGGACCTGTCAGTCCTCAGCCCCAGAGAGTTCTTGGTCTACCAGCATGGGATATTCCTCATCAATACACTACATAATCTAAAAGTGGTTGGTGATTAAGTTTTAATCTCACAGACAACATAAAACATCTATTGATGCATTTTTTAGTCAGTCTAATCTGATATTTTCATTTCAGTTCCTTAAAAAAACATTACTTTCCCCCATATTATTGCTTTATGTGGTATGCGTCTTTAAAATGCTGCATACACCATATTTCTCTGTTTTTAAACAGACCCCGGCTATTTCACTTCAGATAGCAGTGAGACTACCTAACAACAACTACTTCAAGAATGCCTTCAGGAACTCCTTCTTTTATCAGGTAAACTAGAGCTGTATGATAGTACTGTTATAACTGCCAGCATCTTCACTCTAGTTTAGAAAGTTCTGCAGTAACTTCTCTTCGCTCACCAATTGTTTTTTTTTTATTTCAGAAATATAAATGGTTGAAACCATGGAGTGCCCCAGGGACATAAATTAAAATTAACTTCCATTTACTCATAATATTAAACTCCATATAATATACTGAAAAATGTGTATAAACACAAGTGAAAAGCTCTCAACTAAACTGGTGAAAACATTTACCTCTTATATAGCCTACTGAAAACTTTGCACAAGCACTAGTGAAAAGCTCTCACATATACGAGTCAAAATATTTACCTCTCATAAAACCTACTGAAAAGCTCTCATACAAAGTAGTGAGAACTGTTCATATACAGGTGCTGGTCATAAAATTAGAATATCATGAAAAAGTAGATTGATTTCAGTAATTCCATTTAAAAAGTGAAACTTGTATATTATATTCATACATTACATACAAACTCATATATTTCAGATGTTTATTTTGTTTAATTTTGATTATTACAAATGACAACAAATGAAAATCTCAAATTCATCATATCAGAAAATTAGAATATTACTGAAGACCAATAAAAACAAAGGATTTATAGAAATGTTGGCCAACTGAAAAGTATGAACATGAAAAGTATGAGCATGTACAGCACTCAGTATTTAGTTGGGCCTCCTTTGGCCTGTATTACTGCAGCAATGCGGCGTGGCATGGAGTCGATCAGTCTGTGGCACTGCTCAGGTGTTATGATAGCCCAGGTTGCTCTAATAGTGGCTTTTAGCTCTTCTGAATTGTTGGGTCTGGTGTATTGCATCTTCTTCTTCACAATACCCCATAGATTTTCTATGGGGTTAAGGTCAGGAGAGTTTGCTGGCCAATTAAGAACAGGGATACCATGGTCCTTCAACCAGGTACTGGTAGCTTTGGCACTGTGTGCAGGTGCCAAGTCCTGTTGGAAAATGAAATCTGCATCTCCAAAAAGTTGGTCAGCTGCAGGAAGCATGAAGTGCTCTAAAACTTCCTGGTATGTGGCTGCGTTGACCCTGGACCTCAGAAAACACAATGGACCAACACCAGCAGATGACATGGCACCCCAAACCATCACTGACTGTGGAAACTTTACACTGGACTTCAAGCAACGTGGATGAAGTGCCTCTCTTCTTTTCCTCCAGACTCTGGGACCTTGATTTCCAAAGGAAATGCAAAATTTACTTTCATCAGAGAACATGACTTTGGACCACTCACCAGCAGTCCAGTCCTGTTTCTCTTTAGCCCAGGCAAGACGCTTCTGACGCTGTCTGTGGTTCAAGAGTGGCTTGACACAAGGAATGCGACAGCAGAAACCCATGTCTTTCATACGTCTGTGTGTGGTGGTTCTTGAAGCACTCACTCCAGCTGCAGTCCACTCTTTGTGAATCTCCCCCACATTTTTGAATGGGTTTTGTTTCACAATCCTCTCCAGGGTGCGGTTATCTCTCTTGCTTGTACACTTTTTTCGACCACATCTTTTCCTTCCCTTCGCCTCTCTATTAATGTGCTTGGACACTGAGCTCTGTGAACAGCCAGCCTCTTTAGCGATGACCTTTTGTGTCTTGCCCTCCTTGTGCAAGGTGTCGATGGTCGTCTTTTGGACAACTGTCAAGTCAGCAGTCTTCCCCATGATTGTGTAGCCTATAGAACTAGACTGAAAGACCATTTAAAGGCTTTTGCAGGTGGTTTGAGTTAATTAGCTGATTAGAGTGTGGCACCAGGGGCCATCAATTTTGAACCTTTTCACAATATTCTAATTTTCTGATATGATGAATTTGAGATTTTCATTTGTTGTCATTTGTAATCATCAAAATTAAACAAAATAAACATCTGAAATATATGAGTTTGTATGTAATGTATGAATATAATATACAAGTTTCACTTTTTAAATGGAATTACTGAAATCAATCTACTTTTTCATGATATTCTAATTTTATGACCAGCACCTGTAAACCTTTCATACACACTAACAGGTCTGTCGAACTATATTTACCACTGATCGGACAACAGGCATTCTTCAAATCACACGATGGACCTTGTAGTCAGATAATAATCTTAATAATCTGTTGTGCAGAGAATTACCTGCCTGCCGAGAATCAACTCCCCTGTCGCAGGAGCGTGCATCGCCCTAAACTCATGCCCAGTGATGAGAAAACCGATTGAAATATGAACGAAAAGGGAAATATTAAAAATATTCTTAATGTTTTCATATTTCTTAGACATGGATAGTATAAGAAATATGAAATATGATAGTTTTGGTGGACAGATAAATTCGAATTACTTGTCAGTTGATGTGCTACAGTCAGTATGAGATGAAGAAAGTCTCTGCTTAGTGGATGCCAATTCCCGATTTCGCTATCAGCTCTATTCTAGATCATTTCTGACTCTTTATTTTTGAGACTTAGAACCTGAAACCTGCCGAAGATTCCCTCCCCTCCTTATTTTCACATTTTTTGTCCCAGACTTATACAATTCATACCACAATCGCAGAGAGCAAGTATGATTATGTGGAGAAACCTGCATAATTGTAAACACATTATTTCTCAAACTAAGCAGGGTAGAGTGATCTCGGCAACTTAGAACCTGGGGAAGTTTCCCTTCCCCCCTTATTTTCACACTTGATGCTGTTCAGAACATTGTCATATATATATATATACATACATATATATTATTGTGTTTAATATTTGTTTATTACAACAGGAATACAGTTAGTTATAGTTGTTATAGTTATATTTTTTCCTGGCATAAACCACTTCAATTTAAGGTGTCTGAACAAAAACCTACTAGTGTTCTTGATTTATAGCAAACATTTTTTTGTGCTGAAATGTAAAAATATAAGTTAGCCAGTAGAAAATAAAAATATAACTTTAATTCTCAAATTGTTACCCAAAAAACTTTTTCAGACTAAATATAATTTCTCTATATGCAGGAGGCAGAGGAGACGCTTTTTGTCCGCCGCCAGAGGCTGCAGTCTGTTGGTGGTTTCTCTCTTATGCTGCTTCACTGTCTCTCACATATTAAAACTAAAGACATGAGCTCCGACTTAAGTCCAGCGTTCCAGAGACTTTTCTACAAGGTAAATAAAAATATATAAAATCTGAAGAAATGTAGTTTTAAAAACTTTCTACAAAGCATTTGTTTAATTTATTTATTTTTTCATGATAGACTCTACAAGATTGTCTCCAAGAGCTTTTTCTGGCCAGGCTGAACATCTGTTCTGGACAGGAATCGAGATTGTGTATTGGTTTTCAGGAGCAATGTGATTTAAAGGAGGCTTTGTCAGATCCCCTGGCTGTCTCAGTTCTTCAAAGGTTTCATCAAACAAGCAGAGGATTGCTATCTGAAGATGTAAGATGTTCCTCTCTCTATAAACTTGAAAGCATTGTTCAAATTGATCTAAATATTTTTAAAAGTAACCCGGACTTTCTTCCATGTGTTCTGTTTGTCATTTTCTGTTTACAACCAGGAGGTGGAGAAAATGCAAATGAAACACAGAGAATCATCTCTTTCAATGCATCTTGATGAATGTCTGAGGGATAAGAGCTCTCTGGATAAAGAGAGACCAGACTGGCTGAACCAACATCTGTCATAATTTCATGCTAGTATAACTCTCTCCCATCACACACCCTCCTTGCCACAATTGTGATGGTTCACTGTACCCAGAGAGAGTATTCATCTTCAATCACAACGATTGCATGTTGTTGGGTTCAATGTTACTGGTACTTGTACTCTGCATCTTCCAATTTATCCAGGACAGGGTCGGACAGCAGTCTCAGCAAAGACTCCCAGATTTCTGTCTCTTCATATACCTGCTCCAGCTCTTCTGGGGGTAAAGCACCCCAAGACCAAACAAGAGCCTCCCTCCAGAGTGTTTCTGGAGTTTTCACCCTTCTTGCCCAACCACCTTGTGTAGAAACCTAATTTCTGCAGCTTGTATCTGTGATCTTGTTCTTTTGGTTATAATACAGATTTCATGACCATAGGTAAGGGCAGGAAAATAAACTGATTGGTAAATTTAAATATTTGCCAAGGTATCAAAAGTGTAAATACAAATGCAATGTAATAGTAATGAAAAGTTTTCATTATTATCAGAAGATAAGTCTGAGGACATTTTCTCTAATCAATTTTTAAGAGGTAAGGATACCTTTAAATGTTTGAAAAAAATTAAATATAGTCTTGAATATTACAAGCTACATAACTTTGGAGAGTAGAACAGAAACTAGTCAAAATATCTCAAAGCACACTCTTCTACATTCTTGCTGAAGTTTTGATGTTAATTTTTGGGGCTATAAAAGAGGTCAAATAATTAGAACAGAGAAATAATTTTGTATTATAATTAGTTTACCATATATTCTGTTATTTAAATGGATACAATTTTTTTTCTCGATCTGTTAACAACTTACTTAATTTTTTTTTCACTGTCATGTTTTTCTTTTAATCATAGATTCATTTATGTTACTTTTATATCCCCCTATATTTTTTGCCTTGCGTATGTGCTGCTTTAGTTTTTCTGCATCCCATTTCCACTTTACTTTTTCAATTTTGCCTCATTATGCAGATAAGGTGGGTTGACCTTCACTGGCTCAGCTCCACTACTAGAGAGCTCGTCAGACCACGTGATGAGCATGCAGTGCATTGTGGGAAGAAAAAGCAATCCTTTCAAAACAGCTGGTTAAAGACACAACAAATTTTCTGTAACAATGATAAAAGTGAAGAAAGAACACAAAATGGAGCAGCACATGGAGAATGTAGCTGGTCTGTACCACAAAGACTAAATTGGAAAGGTGTGGTATATAGAGATAAGAAAAGGGGTTAAAAGGCTGGATCCATATGAGCATGAGCAGACAGCTGATTTGAATATCCTGCAAAACTTCAAACATGCATTTATCTATAATTATATGACCCAGAATGTGAGTGCCTACAATCACAAAGTGTATAGAAAATTCAGCTCTCTGCAGCAGGTGCACATTCAGTTCATAGATGGACGGTTGAACGAGCTATTTTCAAAGTCGACCAGAAAACCATTGTATGCACAAAGGTAATGTTTCAACCCAATCTTTACATACTTCTAGTCTGCATGAGCTCAAAACCTCATTAATCAATGTCCTTTTGCAAAGAAAACACAGCATTCACAATGTCAATAAAAAATATGGAAATTTTGAATTAGTTATCTGCTGATGATGAGTGTGTCTGCAGCAGTGACTACCTGAAACAATTTTTTTTTTCTCTTTCCATAACCTGATTTAATCCCAAGTTTAACATTTATTTTTATTGTTCTGACATTCTGTTGAAGTAACTGCTGCATGTAAAAGTTGTAATGTCCCATAGTAAGTGTTACTGTCAGTGAAAATTGATTTGGAGAATTTTTATCTTTTTTTGGGGTATTGTATTTAGTATATGTATATATAAACACTAACAGGACCGCAAAGAAATGCTTATTGCAACAACAGACTAATGTATGAAAAATCTGACATAAGCACTGGCATACGTTTGATAAGTTATGGGTCAGTTTTGTATCAATTATGAGCACGCTAAAGCACGCTGGCACACATTGACAAACTGCAAGTACGTTTCTCCACATATGCCAGTGTATACTCATACGTTGGCCATAAGTTACAGGTAAGTTATTTGATTGTTGACATACGTTAAGTGTAAGTTACTCATAAGTTGATGTGTCTAGCAGATGACCTCTGAATGTGATTCTAACCTGCAGCTACCGTATAATGGTGTATTTGCAGCCTTTTGGTATAAAAGGGGGTTCACAGGAGGAGACAGTCAGTACTCCTCCAGACTTCATCCCCATCACGGGGTGAGCGAGAAGGTGAGTGTGATGGATCCTCCCTGCGATCACTCCATGACCAACAAACTTCCTAGCAGACATGATGCTTAATCTTCTGCGACTGCAAACCTTCTTTCTTTCTTTTCTTTTTCTTTATTTATCTTTTTTCTTGGTGGGCTGTAAAAAGCAGCTACAGTAAGTTAATACCACGATCAAAGAAATCTTTTTATGCAGGCCGGGCGCCTCGAGGTGCATCGCTGCAACCCTCAGAACACTGGCTTGTGATATTTTTTATTTTATTATGCTGCTGTGCGTTATGCATACCGGTAGGTTAGTCTGTCAATGAACATAAGTCCTGGACTCGTTATGAATACTCTATGTATACACCAAAAATTTTAAAAACCACATAGGGAGTTCCGCATATACCAATGTTTTAGGAGATTCTGGGACATAGGGCATACGCTAGCTACGTCGTCACGGTGGCTTAAAGACAATGACAGGGTTCCAACCCCTGATTATTCCATTAGAACCAACACCTAAACTAACAATCGATAAACTAAAAGGCTATTGATTTCTGATAGGGGTTAATCATTTCAATTAATATAATTTTAAGAAATTTGTTTTTATTTAGCTCTTGTATTTGCTTTGTGAATTGGTTTTAACAAATTCTGATTGCTCCTATTTAGTTAAACCCTAATTTGACCTCATTCCAAACTCTTCAGAATAAACTTTGGTTCTCAAACATAAAAACTGTAATATAATTTCATAGATGATGTTTTTAAACCATTTCTATTCCTATTTCTTTGTGTGCATATTAGCTTAGGTTGGGCGAGTTTCAATACTTTAGTCAAGAGTTTAACTGAAATATGTTTGAGTTGGAGTTTAAAAGCTTTGTTATTAAATTATCATATTTATACGGGATTCATTTATTTCATGTTCGTGCAGATTTAACTGTTCATCATGATTCAGATTTCCCAATGTTAGGTAATCTTTTTATCACAAAACTACACACCCTATCGTGACTCTCCCAAAGTCTATAGCAACTCTCAGAATCTACCCAGAAACCACAAATTCCAACAAATAAGGTAAAAACAGAACTTTATAGGTCATTATAGGTCATCATACCCAACAGTCTTGCTCATTGGAATGTCCCTCTGGCTGACTTGTACAGGATATAACACACAATGAGCAGTAACAATACAGGAAATAAAAAGAAAAAGACACCACAGAGGCTCCTCTGTGGTTTACAGTAAAGAGAGGGTTTCTTTCTTGATATGCCTCATTTTTACATCTGTGAGCATAGAGCTGAAGTACACCTTTAATCTCTTTAAAAGTTTTTTTTCTGGGCTTATATTATCTGTCTCTTTGATTTCTCATGAATTTTCCTCCTGCAGCCATTACCAGGGAAGTTGTGACTGTCCTATGTACAACTGTTGTTACAGAAACATCAAGCTACTTGACAATGATCATGTTTGTCAATTATGTTCTTTCTAGTCTCCTTAGACAACTCTTTTCTTCGCTTCTTCACACCCATGTTGAGTGTGGTACACACCATGTCATTAGACATCACAGTCTATATTCAGGCCCACTGACTGATTATTGGATTGTAGACACCTGTGATGCAAATCAATGGATATGCCTTGACTGGTCAAATTATTTTCAATCTTTTCTAGGGATGAAGTCTTTTCTAGGGATATTTTTGTATGTGTCTGTTTCATAAGATTGTTTTTCTAAATCTGTTTGTTGAAGCATGGTTGAAAAGCAATGTCTGACTTACATTTGTTCATTTTCATAGGATTTTTTTTTTTTATTACAAATGTCAGATTTAAGTTATTTCTGTGACCATTGTATGTATACTTTAATTAAACAAGTGGTACCAACACGTTTGTCCCACTTGAAATTGATCGGTAGGAGTCCTTGGAACCTCTAGAGAGAGCCGTCAAACCCAGCCAGGGGTTTGGGGTTTTCCACTACCTGATATTTGTTTATAGTGATTAAAATTGAATATAAGCTTTACTGGGATATGTTGTAAAAACTGCAAAGTGGCCAGAACTTGACATAATATCTTATGCCAGAAATCTTTAACATTTTAGGTTTACATTGATATTAATTAATGATGGCTGCTGGTCTCTAAAACAGGGGAGGCTGAATGGTGTTCTTTAAATCCAAACGTTGTGTATTGCAGCAACAAATGTTGAAACACAAAAGACACATTGCTTGTAAACAAGGTCAACCCTTCTTTCCTGTATAACAGGTGAAAATAGCTGTTGTGCAGCGCTCCGGGCGCCTGGTTAAGGATTTGGTTAAAGTGTGAAAAACAAGTTTGCTCAATTTAATCTAAGGAACCAACTTGAAACTCCTTTAGAGACAAGGGACACATCTAAAAGTTGCAGGATACTGGCACACGAGGATATGAATATGAGACCACTGCACCAGGTTTAACACCTGCTGAATGCAGGATCTTTTTATACCCCTTAGCTGATGGGACTAACTGGCTGCAGATTTGAACAATTGGTTATAGGTCGGCCCATGCCATGATGTCTCTGAGTCACCTGATGGAAGATTGAATAAAACAAAAACAGATTGAATATGTTCCCAAATCCCAACAGAATTAGGAAAAAGATATTTTGAATTATATCCTTTGAAGTTCAGCTCCAATTGGAACTTTGCAGAAGTTGCATGATGTATTCGAAAAGACAATTAAATTGTTGGAGGTTGCATCTCTTTCAGAGATATTTCTTAAATGTTTCTTCAAGCCTTTACATTGTTTCTTTGCACTGTTTTTTTTTTCAAACAAAAATGTATTCACTCATCATATATATAAGAGGTAAGTCATGCTTGGGTTGTCTATCCCCGCCTATAAAGCCCTAAGGGTCTGCTTCACACCAGGACTCCTTTAGTTACAGTTTGAGATTCAAACAAGCAAAGCGTTGCTTCAGAAACCACTGAACCACTGAAAGGCAAAGTAAGCATGGAAGAATCTCAGACCCGTGTTGCCTCAACCTACTATGGGTGGTCTGTTTTTAGCACTTTATGCTGCTGTTTGCCTCTAGGAGCTGTGGCAGTATATTTCTCCAGCAAGGTAGGTAGTATTTTTACAGGAGCAAATATGTTTTATTATAACCTTTGTTCTGTTCACCTCCTACACTCTCACCTGAATTTAAAATTGCATACTAAATGAAAAAAATACAGGTAATTGTTTTAATTGTATGTAATATAACTTAAATGAAGGGCTTCTCTTTGATGATAGAATTACGTGCATGATGCATAACTCTTACAGTTATTAAGAATGAAATAAAATAATGAATTTAGATCCACATTTTTTCTCTTACTGGTGCAAAATAACAAAGATTATTTAGCAATAGTTTTCTCATTTTTATGAATGTTTACATCCCTAAATAATGCACTGAGAGTATCCCTTTTTTTTTTTAAGGTAAAAAGTGCAAATGAGGCAGGAGATGTCGATGGGGCAGAGCAAGCATCGAAGACAGCCATGATCCTTAACATCATGGCCCTTATTTGTGGACCTATTTGCATTGGTATTTACTACTACCTTAACCAAAAAGGTTCCAGATGAAATGACTTCCTTGTCAGAAAGCAGAGCTGATGTATTTGTGCAAGAATCTTCTCCACCAGCAACTTTAAAAAACAGAAATAAATGGCTATTCAAATCTAAAACTGTTAATGTGACTGCTGTCAAATTTATATTTGGACACAACCAGTGTTTAACAGTCAGTGGCAAGAACATGTAAATGTTATCAAAACAATTGACAATAGTGTTTACATTTGTTGGGATTGACTGGTAATAAATGAAATGTTAAACTACTCTGAGTTTTGTAATCTCTAGTAAACTGGCAAATAACAAATTAGGAGCCACAAAAATGAAAAGGTCTGTATGATGTAATACAATCAATGAAAATACATGAAACTCTACAAATTCTTTAAAGCTGACTTGTTTCTAATATGTATATTCCTTCATTTACTAATGGCAATTTTAGGTCAGGTGTTTTTTTTTCTTTTCCTTTGACTGTATGCTCATAATGAAGAGAGGCAAGAAACAAAAAGAAGGCACTGAAAAAAATAAGAAGTAAGAAGAGACAAGCCCATCAGACAGAGGCTGCCAAATGTGTAAAGTTAACATTGACGGTTACTGGTGGTTATGTTGGAGTCAGTTACTTGCAGCAGCATCCAAAGAAGCAGCTGCAAGAGTTAATGGTGGGGGCGGCCACCTGCAGCAGGAGGAGGAGAGAACCACAGCAGCTGCAAGGGCGTTTCTAGGAAAATCTGAAATAATGAACCGTAGCCTAGCAGATATAAGACAAGTTTTAGGTTAGTTTAGTTTCATTGTGCCTTCAAATTCTTTTCATTCAGTTACATTTAGGCTGTTTAAAAAAATGTTTTTATGACATAACAGTGATAGTGATTATACTGCTACAGTAACTTTAATTAATCAACTTGGATAAATTTCGATCTTTATTAGTTACGTTTAGACGATGGTCACTCAGTGCTGGTTTGTTGTTTGTTGCTTCCTCATCTGTGGTTCCAAACGTGAGTTCTC